AGAAGTCGAGATGGCTCTTCACGAAGCGCTGGTATTGAACTTGATCTGAACAGAGCTGATGAAGTTGCAGATAATGGCCAATTTGTACCAAATGCTTCGCACAGAGTTGAAGTCCCATTGCTGTCGACGAGATCGTTACCTGGAGTTTTCTCTAATGCTGGCACGAATAGCTCGAGGGACTTTGATCTTAATAGTGGACCAGGCCTTGATGATGTTGGCACTGAACCTGCACCAAAGTGCCTACCTTCTAAAAATACAAGCAGTATTCAATTCCTACCACAAGTTCCTGTTAGGATGAATAGTGCTGCCATGAGTAATATATCACCATGGCTTGCCCCTGCCAGCCCTTGTGGTCCAGTAGCTATACAATCTTTTTTACCATCTAGAGAACAGCCGTACCCAATTGAGGCAGTACCTGGAGCCCAGAGGATTATTGCGCCTACAGCTGATGGTGGCCAATTTGGAGGTGATCCCTGCAGGCCTCCAGTTATTTCAACGTCTCCAGCGATGTTTTTTCATCCGCCTGCATATCAGTATGCAGGATTCCCTTTTCCTCCGAGTGTTCACCTTCAAGCACCGGCATTTTCAATTGGATCAACAACATTTAATAATTCTGCATCTGCAGGAAGTCCGTATTTTCTCTCCCCCTCTCTAGTTGGGCCAGCAGGAGCGTTACCTTCCCAACATTCAAGGCAGTATGCTATAAATCTTGCTGAGGGTAGCAGCAGCAGTGGACGTGACAGTAATCGTAAATGGGAAAGTCAGGGCCTTGATCTTAACTCAGGCCCTGGAAGTGTAGATTTAGAAGGAAAGGATGAACGGGTGCCTTTACCAGTCAGACAAAATTTGATCCCACCCCCACATGGCTTTGCGGAGGATCAAGGAAGAATTTACCAAATGCCAGTTGTAGGAACAAAGAGAAAGGAACCTGATGGCAGTTGGGACTCAGAAAGGTCTACATACAAGCAATTATCATGGCAATGAGGGCTCTGAAGGAGATCATTTTGCACCGACTGGTCTGCGATGAGCATGTATGTATTTGATTCAATTTTTTTGGTCTGTTTGATTTCTTACTATCAGTTGCTAATCTTGTGAAATTTGTGGAATTGTGCCTTTATTTGCAGAGGTACCTGCATGTAGAACTTGGGCGGTGTGTTCTTCAGTCACTGGACTATACTCAGGGGATTCAGCCCTATGACGATGTGGGATTGAGGAAACGAAAACTTGCTGTAATTGTTGTAGATTTTTCTTAGCTGTTAGGCTTTTGGTTCTAATTTACTCAGGAGGGTATGGCTGCGGGGGAGGAATCTTTGTGATCCTGAGCTCTGGGGCTACTGTAATTAGACCGTCCGCTCTGTTTGTTGGTGATAAACTGTTGAGCACATGCTGCAGCTTTACATAAGAATTTAGATGTGACCTTGTTCCTTGTTGGGGAAGCGTTACGTCAGCTGACCATATACACACTGGTGCAACGTACAGCTCGAGTTGCTACGTCATGTATCGTTGCAGTGCAGCTGTATGTATAAGAATTCTACCAGATCAGGAAGCTATAACTTTTTGCTGTTTCTTTGACACCGAAGCCATCTTCATCTGGTTTACTCTTGATGCTCTTTCTTTAAAAAGAATTATTTTTCGGAGAGGTGATGATCGGCAGATACGAACAAGAATAAATGAAGTGTGATTTTCGTTTGATTTATATTGGGTATAAGGGCTTGTTTGGATGCTTGGCGTGTTCGCTGGTGGGTGCTAGTTTGGTCTGACTATTGCTGTTTTTTTATGAGAGAAAAACACTGTTGACTGGTTGAATAAGTCTGGCTGAAATCAACGAGCGAACAGGGTGATGACGTTTGGTTGAAGCCCTGAATGGAATTTGCCTGGGCTCAAGCCTTCCTGGGTGGAATTTGCCTGGGCTCAAGCCTTCCGGGAATCTTCCTGGATGACGTTTGGTTGAAGCCCCTGACAAGTTCAGGCAACAAGTCCCAGGCGATGAAAATTGGTTGCCTGGCTCCCGTTGCTTTCGCTGGCTTAACTACGGTTTGTTCAGGCAACAAGTCCCAGGCGATGAAAATTGGTTGCCTGGCTCCCGTTGCGTTCGCTGGCTTAACTACGGTTGATGCATTGTTTATTATTATTGGTACACCCTATTAAATGAGAGACGTGTTACTTTTTCTTTTAGTTTTCTCGAGACTAATCTGCCACTCATATAATATGATTGTTCAATAAATTAGATTATTTTTCCTCTCTCGAAGTAAACATAATTATTTATTAAATATAGATAAAGTTGTTTGATTTATAAATAATTCTCTATTTATTTAACTAAGAAAAAATATTTATACAAATATATAATTTTTTGTAAAACTATAAAAGCTACATATGCTAATTATATACTAGAAACATTAGTTAATGCATTGATATTCACCCTGTTCTTCAACATTACTTCGGCAGTACTTTTCAGCGAAACGAACATTGTTTTCCTCTCATAACAAACCAGCACAAGCAGCAGTATAAGCCAAATTTCAGCGAAACGAACATTAACATTCTCAGGCACAGGCCTCCAACCAAACGCCTTTTTTCATACTTACTTGGCCAGGCAAAAACAACTTTCTAGACAACTTTCAGGCATTACTTTTTATCAGGCAAGTTCTCCAGGCTTCCAACCAAACAGGCCCTAAATACATGGCTAGCCGTTGCATTGGCATAGACCTCGGGTTTTGGGGATGGCAAGTGTGGTGCGAGTGGAACAGATATCCGCTCGAGATAAAACGTGCAAAATATTGTCACATTAGCCCTTAATACACTCTGCAATTTCGCATCCGTATCTACTCCCGTGGGTTATCCACGGGTTTCAGGCCCGTCGGCTGCTCTCATGGGTTATCCATGGGTTTCAGGCACCCGTCGGGTGTGTTAATCTTATGAGTAATATATTATTATGATTGTAACAATAACAACTGTAGAAAGTTGAAAACAAGTGAAGTTTATCATCTATATATCACACATGTATTCATCTACAACATAGGTGTCATGTAGTTATACAAGTTTTTGAAGTGGACTAAAAATTTAATACTTATGTGACAGACATGTGTTAGCAATTGGAAATGAATACTTTGGATATTTCTTAAAGCCCTGATGTGCACCCTACGGGTAGCACCAGTGGCGAAGTTAAAGCAAATTAGAGGGTGGTGCACAGTGCATAGACAAGTCTAATAGGGGGTGCATATATGGTAAAATTTAATTGAATACACTGTTTTTGCAGTTTTTTGGTGGTGCATTTGCACCCGTAGCCACAAGCTACCTTCGCCCCTGGGTAGCACCCGGGCCCTGACCCGATGAGCCCCGTGGGTGCGATTTGGCACCCGCCTCGCACCCTAGCGGGTGTGATGCCCGTGGACACCCACACCCGCAGGTTCAACTGCCATCCCTAGCGTGGATGATGTCTGTTCAATAAAAGTGATTTATGAACGAATGCAATCCTTGTCGGTGATATTGGTGTTTACAATATTTGTATTTTAGATATAGTCCTAGAGGTTGTATGACTCTCAAAACATATGAATTAGAAAAAGGGTTTTAGATGCAACATAGAAAAAAATGTAGGAATATGAATTAAAAACGGTCTTTAGATGCAACATTGGGAAAATGTAGGGATTCTACGAGATATATAAATGTCATGCTGTTTTCCCACCAAAAATCCGGCCTCGTCGGTTCCGCACTTCCGCTGATGTGATGCTTCGTCGTAGCTGAGAATTGAGGTGCTGGTGGCGTGTTGATGCGCCTGCTAGTCCGGTGAGGTAGCGATGTAATGTGGTGTTGGTGTTGGAGTGCACGAATGGTATTTGACGAATTTCCTGTTGGAGAATCGAGATGAAACTGAGGTACATGTGCCAGTTCACGTGTTGTTTAGGCTAGTTCTGAGCTGTTTGGAGTGTCGAATCTCCTCGTTCATCGCCGACCATGATTTTGGGTGGTCAGTGGTGGCCTGCCGTTGCTGCGCTGTGCGAAGTGGGCACGACCAGGCTCGACGAGACGACGACCACTGCATTGCTGACCTCGATTATAGGTAGCAAAATTTTTCTGTTGGAAGTGAGGCAGATATACAGAGTGAATATTCCTAAGATGGCTCCAAATGGAGATATAGAGATTTAGATTTAGAAATGCTCTTAACCAAGAAGCTTAATCAAGATAGTGTGCCACAGACACATAACGACAAGGACAATTGGGTAGAGAGCACGAGGCAGGTCACAATGTTGTACCACCAAAAACATGAAAAACAATTCTCCATACAAGTAAATCCAGAAGCATATTTACAAGCGACAACAACCCTACTTGCCTAACAATTCCCACTTAGACAACAACAGAAAACATGGCATAAGAGAAGCAGCTAAATTACGGCCGGCCGTAATATGGCTTATCGCATGGCCTCGCCATTTTTGGTAAAAAGTGCAATTATTATATTCCCTTTTCGGCAAGATGCTAATAAACAACGGCCGTACATGCACTTCTAGATTTTTTCACAATATCACTTTCCGCATCACCCAAACAAGCTCGCTGCTCTAGATTTGCCCGGCATTATTTAGCCCACATGCCAAATATTATAAAATTGATACATTCACCCAAGCTAAACGGAATTAAATATAAATTGTTCATGACACATTTCATTCTGGGCATCTTGAGATCTTTTATATAGCATCTCAAGCATCTTAAATTGCCTAACACATATCAGCCCGTCGGCTGCAGATCAGGACAGCGCTGCCGCGGCTGAAGCTGTTTATGTGATGAGAGCAAGGTGCTGCACCATGGCTGCCAAAACAGCTCTACAATCGGCGACCAAACAGATTTATAGACGAAAAAGTAGATATTATGAACAACTCAGATAGAAATACATCTTGCTGCACTAAAAACCTCCTTGTGTTGGTAACATATATACTGACGCATCATATACATCCCACTTGCTGCTGCACATGGTTCTCTTTGTTCATTTGATCCCATGTTGATGCTTGAGACCATCACACCTGCAATTTAAAATGTTAAAAGATTCAGCATCGCAGCAATCGGATGTCATATAGCATATATAAGCATTGAAACTTGGTGTATGTAAATGCATACTGAACAAAAATTGCATAACCTCGTGGTTTTTTTTTTTTTTTTTTTTTTTTTTTTTTTTGCCCAATTCAGTACAGTATTATTGCCAAATGAGTTTGACTAAGTTGCCTACATATGTCATGATATAACAGCACACATTTATACTTATTGCCTTGCATGCAAGGAATCATCATATAGGTGTCAAATATATATCCTAATGAACTACCTCCAGATTTGAAACAAAAGGCTAAATAGCCTATTTAAGAGCACATTGTTACCTAACAAATGACACTTAAATTGCCTAAGAAAAAGGCTAAATTGCATATTGGATCCACCATCATGGGACTAAACAAGATCATCCCTAATGGCTTTAGTTCAGGTAAATAAGCAAGTCAAATTTGAAGCAATTGAGCCTATCAAGAAAAAGCTCACGCAGGCATGTAACTGATATAATAAAAGCAATAAAAATGCACCATCATAACAAACTTCCCCATGTAGAAATTGCAGCCTGTGAGCATTTCAGTTATATAATTTCAGCCTATGTAGAAATTACATGCATGTGGGCTAATCTATTGGTTTGAACTGAGCAATTACACTAGTTCAGAGTACAAAAACTGCGGTGTCAAAAAACAGTATACTAATCTTAATGGGTAATGGCGAGGAACTCGCCTTCTTAGAATGCCTCGTTGCTGGCAACAAATCAACACCTCCCCTACCCCCCACTTCCATACCCACGAACACATCCGTAATACAGAATCGATCATAACAGCAAAGTAGGTCCAGTTGAAAACTCACCTGAAATTTGCGGTCAACAACAGGGCTGCACTCGTGCCGCGGGACAAGGGCACCACTGCAAGGTACGCGATAGGGGGCTGCAAGGTGGAAGTTGGTCAGGGTGAGGGTGAGGTGCAACGTGGTCGTCACCGAGAAGCCTGCAAGTGAAATAAAACAAAGCAAGTATGCCAATTCAGAGTACGAACTGGACAATCCAGTATTTCCATGTATGCTTAGAAATCAGAAACTCACATGAAGCAAATATGGTAATGCTGTAGTGGATTGCATTTTCTTAGGCAATTTAAGTGGCATTCATTAGGCAACAATGTCTTTCTTAATAGACAATTTATTTATTCTGAAAAAGCATATGAATGCATTCAGTAACTGAAACATTGGGCAAGCTGTCACAATATATTGGCAACCAAAAAACTACAGGAAAGTTTTCAAATAAACTAAACTTATACATGGTTAGATATATAGCTTATAAGAGTACAGAAAGATGTCCTTCAGCTGGTGCTCGTATAAGAAAAATTGATTAATTAGATTCATGGTCAGAAACTCAGCATGCTAGTTTTTGAGTATGCGAATCATGTGCAAAGAATTAGCACACAAGTAGAGGTTACAGATTTAGATGGTAGATGAAAAAACCATGCTAAGTTCAATGGATCAATAATCTGCAGTGTATTAGAGATCATGTCTAACCTGTAGATATAGATGAAGGCCTCAGGTACCATTCCAGCAACAGAACCACAGAGATAAGGGTTACACTTAATTTCAGTCACAGTTACAGCATAATTAAAAATTGTATACGGGAATGGCGAGATTCAGAAAAGGGCAACAACCCGAAACTGCTGGAACCAATTCCCTTCACCCGCAAGTTTTATTAGTGCTATCTGCTGAGGCCACTTTGTCAACCATACCTGCATTTTTAGTAAAAAAAAAAAAATGAAGTAGAGAAAAAAACGAATTAGGGAATAATCCTAACATAGAAAAGATCTACCTCTTAAATTACAAATCACAGAACATATGGCTGAGAAATTTTACATGCAGACGTTCACGGAACAACCAATCCAATACGGTACCACCATGCCAATTAGTAGTCCCGACCATTATTATAATCAAGAAACCCCAACCATATCCAAAGATCATTCCTGCTAACCACATAGAAGGTCCAGAAGGAACTAGAATAACTGGAAAGAGAGCGAAAGATGCAACGAGAACAACAGCTAATACTGGACGCCCAAAAGCACTTGCTTCCCATTGCATGATTAATATGCCCTCCATTTCAGGTTTCAGCAGGAAATTAATATGCTGGATGCTTAGATAATATACTAGCATTATGGTGTCGGTAATCTATCATTGACCACTGGCTCATGACAACTCTAAAAATATAGGCGAATGTCTTGATTACATTACACCGATCTAGTATCTTGAATTAGGCTATTCTATTGTTTTGAATTAAGCAATACAAACTGGGGTGTCAAAAAACAGTACACTGCAGGCTGCCATTCAAGCAACTCGGTCAGGATCAATTCAAGGGGATCAAAATGGTTCATGAATGGCATACCCATAAGATGCACGATTGCTTTAATCATGTAGCTCCAAGAGAAATCACATGTAATTCCTCCTATAGAAAACAAATACCAGAAAGAAAAAAATGGTCTAAATTGAAAATATCAGCATATATGTCCAATAACAACCACATGCATGTCAGATTGGGGCTCTACTTGTTCTAGCAGATCCAACATAAGGGGAGGGGTCTATGCAAAGCACACCCACTTGAAGAAAATATAGTGCCTACATCAGATCTGGTATTTTGATTGGGCTAATATATTGGTTTGAACAAAGCAAGTATGCCGATTTAGAGTATGGGTATGTGAAATTTCAGTGCACGCTGCCATCCATGGGCTGTCATTTGAGGCAACTAGCTCATCTATAACTGTGTTTCTCCTACTTACTAATTAGCTATTTCTATGTGCAAATTGGACACAAATTAGCGGCCTACAGTTGTATTCAGTGATCTGTACTCACCATTCAGTTTGTGCTTTATATATGTTGGCAAGCTCACGTACATTTGGTACTATTGTTGTGTATCATTTACTGGAAGCCCAAAGCCATCTAATCTTCCAAAAATCACGATCCAGCCTAGGCATGAAAACCTAATGAATGGAATCCACAGGAAACGAATCACAACACTGCAAAGGGGGAAAAAACAGGGAGCACTCATCTGTACGTGATGCGGCCGGAGCAGGTGATGAGTACCTTTTCCCTGTTCCGGAACGGCGCCACCGCGGCACCATCGCCCCGCGGAGGCGGGCTCGGCATCGGGGGGCCGGGTCCTTGAAGGCTTGAAGCCGAAGAACGTGCGCTCCGGCGCGGAGCCGTCGGGCTTCTCTGCTCGAGATCTGAGCCGTCGGGCGTCAGGGAGGTGGTACGGGGTCGGCAAATCTGAGGGTCGCCGGCTCGCAGGGAGACAAATCAGGGAGCGAGGTGCGGCGACGCCGATGCAGAAGCGGCGGCAGCAGCGACCTCTGCCTCGCCGAGCACGAGCTGCACTCCCCTCCGAGTAAAAAACACCTGGATCGATGGCCGCCTGTGCGACCAGAAGTAGGCGTCGATGGCCGCCTTCATCACACCCCGAGCGGGTCACATGTGCGAGGACGGGCTGGGGCAGGCTGGAGCCCTTGAAGAAGGCGACGACCTCCTGGCTGCTGATCCAGTCGACGCGGTCCAGATCCACGCCGCGGAAGTAGGTGTCGATGGCCGCCTCCATCGCACCCAGAGCGGAGGCGCGGGGGCAGGCGGCTGGAGAAAGGGAGGGTGGGTGGGTGTCACCGGCAGCGAGGGCCTCCGGTCGGCGAGATCGGCGGGGCACGGGTTTGTCGGGACGGAGGGGGAGAGAGAGAGAGAGAGAGGAGAAATGGATGGGGAAGGAAGGCATATGGAGGAGGGGTGCCCGTTTTTTTTTTGTTTTTAAGCCCTTTTGAAAAAATTTCACAAATATGCATGAAGATATGCTTTCAAAATCTGGACCCTTAGCTCGACGTCATCGTTGGTGGCGCCGAGTTTACACGTCTCGGCGTCATAGATTTTGACGCCTAGGTCTTGGGCTCGACGCAGACGTGGCGATGACTTAGCAGGCACCTCAGCGTCGTAGATCTTGGTGTCGAGCTGGGCGCCGTAGATCTTGGCGTCGTGGTTATTGGCGTCAAGCCCTGTCTTACGTATGGGTCATTTCTTCCTTTCTCTCTTCCTCTCTCTCTACCGCCCCCGAGCCAGGGCGTCGCCAACGCTGCCGCACCGCCGCGCCCGCCGCCGCACGTAGCCCCGGTCGTCCGCGACCCTAGCCCGCTCGCGCCGCCTCGCCGCGTGAAGCGCCGGTCGTCCCACGCCCACCGCGCGTCGGCCCTCGTCGTCTTGCCAAGGCTGGCAAAATCCCTCTGGCCCGAAAGCCGCCTTGTTAAATCCCTCTTCTCGCCGCAGATCCGCGCATGCAGATAGGCTTCGCTCGCTCCGGCGACCCCGGGCGCGACACGGCCCCTGCTCCCAACGCGCCGCGACCTCGTCGTCGATCCCGTCCTCCGCGTCCCCATCTTGCTCCGGTCCCGACGTCCGCATCTGCGTCGCATCGTGTGGGGGTATTAACCCCTATACCCTTATGGCTAAGCTTGGGCCGGCCCGGATCGGTGGGTCCGGTCCACCAAAAGACGACGTGCGGCCCGGTTAACCTGATCGGAGTCCCGTGCAAGGAGTCAAGGCGGGTTTAGCGATCAATCAAGATCCTGGTCGGTTAGAATAGAAATCCTTATCCGGCCACATATGTCAATTGTATGGCGGCTAGGATTAGTTTAGGATCGTAACCACGCTTTCGAACTATATAAGGCGGGCAGGGGACCCCTCTAAAAAACATCTCTCATTGACATACAGGAATACAAATCAGACGCAGGACGTAGGTATTACGCCTTCTTGGCGGCCGAACCTGGATAAAACCTTGTGTCTGTCTTGCGTCACCGTCTTGTTTGTTACTTGCGCATCTGTCTGCCGACAATCTACTACATTAGGTATACCCCTAGATAGACTGCCGACCATATTTCGTCGACAGTGGCGCGCCAGGTAGGGGGTGTGCGTATTGCTTTCCAAGCAAACAAGATGGTCATCATCTCCGGCTCCATGGCTACGCCGAACGGCCTCACGTTCACCGTTGGCCAGATCACCTAGACCACCGGCTCCGACGACTTCATCGCCATGACCCCGGAGGAGGCGTGGATTCAATCTACGTCGACCACTGCTTCACCTACATCGGCTATGGCTCCGACCACGGTGGATATGGCTCCGACCACGGTGGATACGGCTCCGACCACGATGGATACGGCTCCGACCATGATGGATGCAGCTCCGACCACGATGGATCTGGCTCCGACCATGGTACATGAAACAACCCCGATTTCCACGATGGGAAATCCACAGAGTCGAAGTGTAATAAGACCGCTGTAGATCATATTACCCGGATTCCAGTCGAATATCACATCCATACAACGATAATATCAGAGTACAAATAGTACGGAAGTACATAGATTATTACATCGCCGCATTGGCGGAATCAAAAAGTAGCATTCATTCGTAGCGACTTGAAGATAGGATCGCCAAACTCGAAAGCGAGGAACGAACCCTCAATCGTCAAACTCCTCGGAGCTATACTCCTCAGCAGAACCTGTGTGCCAAAATTTATCAGTACGATTTGTACTGGCCACTCCCAACCCTATGAGCATTGCTTTGTGGAATTTGGATGCAAATTGGATATAATCAATAAGGAACCTATAAGGCTGGGGTTTCCTATGTATTAGCATATCAAGTACATAATAATGGTTGGTCAAGTTTTAACACCATTCTCACACATTCCACCCCATTCCCATTCCAGAGCCAGGTTTCGATCCTGGGATCGATATACCACCATATCCACACCATCACCATACCACACCCATTCCATCGCTCAGTCGACAAGCCAACTCCCTCTCGGCACTGTCTCAAGGCCCGTAGCCCCTGGCTACGTTCGAACACTCATCCCAGGGGAGAAAAGAAAGATTCATCTCACTATCTAGCTTAAGCGAAACCTAGGAAAGGTCCATAGCCGACAAGTCGGCATATGTATCGATCGATCAACCATACACTCTGCAGAGGTTTTACATAACCACAAGATCCGCCTTCCTGGCTGACCGTCGTCAACTAGGCTGATTCCGGCCGCTTGCTAGCCTAGGATAATGCCACTCTACCATTCAGCCCTGGTACACCCCAAGTCCAGTCTAGGGTGGCTGAAACTGTGAGTCATGAGCCGGGTCCACAAGGTCTCCATGAAGTCTCGGAAGGGTGTGGGGGAGATCCTCTGCACCTGCACCTCCTTACCCGTCTCGCTAACAACCTAGCGATGAGTGGCAATATCCTACCAAGTAGTCCGGCCGTCCCGCACCATATAGGGCGAGTGGTACGTAAGGCTTCCCGGTGAGTCTGAGTACTAGTAAGTCCTTAGGGTTGACCAAGCCAGAATGTCTTCATTAGGGTTTCCATTTACTGTGCCACCATAGCACCTCCACCCTGGGCTCTTCCCATCACAGGATCACACCCAAGGCCACCTCATATACCATTTACCCACCACAGGTATCCATTCCAGGGGTGCTCAGGTAGCACCCCATGGCAAGACTTGCCCCAGGCTCATCGTATACTCTAACTTGGTCGACACAACCCTCACCCTCCACGCACCCAAGTCACACACGCAACACTCTCCCCATAGTTTGGTTAACACAAGTCTCCACCACGCATCAATATAGCGCAAGCGTAGTAGAAGTAATAAGCAATGAAATATAATAGCAAGCGTGTGACTAGCCTAACAGCAGGGTGAGCAGGGAAAAGGTTGTGTCAAGGTAGAGGCCATCAAGAAAGCATACTACCATGCAAGTCTTACCATAGTGTGACATGACAATAAAGTAAGCACTAGCATTTCTACTTTAGCCATGCGTAATAGGTGCTACGAGATTGGGTGGGATGTGGCACCTTCAGTGTAGTCGTCTCCGTACTCCTCATGGTACTCACGATCCTTGTCTGTTCGGTTCTCCTCCGAGTCTGCAAACGACCGCATTATAGTCGCGTTAACGACGTCTATAGAATAGCACAAAGAAGCAATGAAAATTCAAAAGAACCAAATGCACTCAAACATGGGTCCATGGTGTAGAGCTTGATTTTAGATGAATTTTGGTCCTGGTTTCGTATTTTTCTGAGGTCGTATGAATTAGTTATGAATTTACGAAGATTAAATCTATTTCTGAAAATGGACAAAGGCTGATTTAATCCTGGGCTAACACGTGTCATGCTGGGGTTGGTCCACGTGGCTTGATGATGTCAGCATGACGTCGCCATCGTGGTTCCGAGCTGACAGGTGGGGTCTAGCTGACGTCAGCATGACATCATCCACACCGACTGGTGGGGCTAGAGGCTATTGAGTCACTGACAGGTGGGTCCGGTCAAAATCAACGGTGAGTCAATAGTCAACGTCTTGATCAAGCGGTAAGGTCAGCGGCGTGTGGGGCTGGGGCTGACGACGTTATCGGTGATGTCGCCGCGTGGCGTCACCTCGCCTCGTCATGCTAGCCGACATGTGGGTCCCGCGTGACGCCATCATGACCTTGACGCCAGCGTCATCATCGGCGTGTGGGTCCGGCAAGAACACCGTGTCGCCGACATGTGGGGCAGGTCAGCGATCAACGTTGACGGTCAACGGTCAATCTAATTTGGGTCCGGCCGGGCTCTGGTGGGTTCGGGTGAAATTGGGTGCAGGCGGTGACCGGACACGCGGCACTGTTGTGATCTTTGCCATGTCGCGGTCGTGGGCCTTTGTTGGGCTTTGTCCACAGCGCGGCTCATACCATGTGGCCCACGGTGGACCAGCGCTCATGGTCCATGGACCTACGGCAGGGCGCATGGTGGGCCAAGTCCACCGTCTCTTCTCCTTGGCTCGGCTCACGTGCACCGAGCCTACGCACGGGTGGCCGGTGAGGGGGGGGTGTTCCCCTATTTCTTCTGTGAAGAGTGGTGCTCTGCCGCGGCATGAAGCTTGCATGATGAGCCCGCGGTGGCTCTGGTGTCCGATTGGGGAGGGGAAAAGCTTCCCTAGGCCACGACGACTGCGTCTGTGGGGTCAAGGTGGCGGCTAGAGCTTTCCAAGGTGCTGGCCACGGCGAGTGGCGGCTCGGCAGTGCTTGCCGATGGTGAAGTCGCGCATGCGGCCTTCCGGGTGGCTTGGCTGAGCAGGTAAAGGCTACTACGAGTCCGTGGGGGCACGGTGAAGTGTCCAGGGCTCAAGGCGGGGCTTCGGCGTTTCCATGTGGCCGGTAGGGACTTCCTGTGCCACCGCGGCGCCATGGAGACGACGATGGCGGTGGCGGGTGATCAACGGGCTCAGCGAGGTAGTCACGGCGTGGTCACAGACGTGTGCGTGGGTGCGGGTGTTCCCAGCGGCCGGCGACAGCCTTGGCCTACACGCTCCTAGTGTGGAGCGCCATGGCCGGTGTGAGAGTCCGTGGCAAGCGAGAGGGATCGGAAGGAGGTTTCACCATGGGTCTTTGTGGAAGAGAGGATAGCGGTGTGCGTGACGAGTTGCGGCCGTGTAGCTCCGAAGCCGTGTGATCGCCGACCCCGTGGCGTGTGCTCGAACTCCGGCGTGCTCTGGTCCTTCCCCGACGGTGGCTTGGCGTTCCTTTCCCCTTCTTCCCCTTCTCCCTCTTC